AAAAAAAAAAAAAAAAAAAGGAAAGGAAGCTAAGCCTTTTCACACATACCCTCAAGTTTAAGAGAAGTCTATTTTTCTCGAAGACAGTATTAAAATTTAACAGACTCAAATCCATTATGAGTAAGAAATTCAGTCTATAACCAATGGATTAAGCCTGAAGGATTATTCCAACATTAAGGCGATGAATAATGGTTAAAAAGCAGATGAATTACTCTTGACGATTAACTACAAAGGACAAAGATTCTCAGGTTATCCATCTATTTAACTATGATTTCTATTCCCCTCCCCCCCAAAATTGTTTTAAGACATTTAAGCTTTAGCTTACTTGAGAAATAAAAAGCATGCACTTAATATCACAGGTTATGCCATTATATAGCTGAATGCCTACACCTGAACTGGCAGGTTCCCACATGTCCCTGAGCTCAAAAATCTGAACTACACATTATTTCACAAGAGCTACCTAGAATTATGTTTCCAAATGCTCCCACTCTCCCTGTTATAATGATTATGTAAGGAAAACTACTTCAATAGCAGGAATTTATTAATAGTTCATTCCTCTACTTCCTTTCCCATTTTTCCTGATTAACTGGTCGATTTCTGAAAACTTTTCCCAATCCCTTGCGTAAGTGGTTTCTACACTCTCAATGCAGAAAATTTTACATAAGAGATCTAAAAGTTTTATGTAAGAATTAGGCCCAAATACGGGCATGCACCAATATTTCAAGTTACTCAAGACTTGTATCTATCGTACAGCATCTGTTAAATGCCCCATAAGCTTTTTCATCTTTTAGGGTATTTTAGATGGGTTACTGTCAGTTTTCCTTTTGGCTTATTAATCTGTGGATTTATAGACATTAGCTACAACCCAAAATACTAATTTAAAAGAACTGACAAACCAAAGCAGTTTCTATATGCACAAGTCTTGTCAATGTATGAACTTACATGGAGCTAGAAGACATAAAAACAGATTACATCTAAAACATCAGAAGACAGATAACATGTCAAAAACCTTAATCATTCTCGATCTTCATTTGTGTGTGCCGAAGTGTTTTATCTTCCTTTAACTCCATTTTAGAAATCCTATAGCTCCCATAAGCGAGAAACCAGCGGTGTACAAAGTTGATCTCTACAGATACATTTCAACTTGAAAAACGAATACCTAAGTCTAAAAGTTAGGATAATCTAAGAACCCACTAACTAGTGACCAGATGAAAGGGAAGAGACCAGTTCTGCAGCACTGAATAAAGTTCAGGTGATTTTACATTAGTTTTTCCCATCACATATGAATCCAGTTTTCTTAAAAGAAAAAGGTTTTGGGGGTAAAAAGTCAGAATATTTAAACTGGAAAGTATTCTTCAGTTTTCGACTGTTACACTTTTGGTAAGGAGAACTACTAACAGTGCTGTCAGTATACCGTGAAGTGTTATCAGTCAGTCTCATCTCAGAATGTTTGCTGGCAACAGAAATGAGAATCTTAACACTGTCTGCAACATTTGTAATAACTCTTCTTACAACACAATGAGTGGTATTAAGAAAGCCAACCCCTGAAAATCATATTTACTGATAGGGCAGAGAAAGAATATGGTTTACTACACCCTTTGATCAGGCATGTAAATGGTTAACTACTCACGGGCCTTGCCTGTGGACTCAAGTAAGGTTCAAAATCATCATCATTTAATCCATCCTTTTGATGTACAGATCCATTTTGTACTAAAGGGAAAAAAATTCAAATAAATTACAGAAATGTCTTAGTCGTACCACCTACCTCCCAAATTAGTCAAATATATTCTAACCAGAGAAAAACCTTACTAAACAGAGCAAGTAAGTGTGAATTTCAAACGGATAAAGACGAGAGTGACTGCTGAGCAGCAATAATCAATGAAAATGTCTCCCTCCACCCACAGCAAGTTGATCTAAAAAGGTCATTTTATTGGCTCCTCTAGATTTCAATTCCCTCCCGCTTCCCCTCCCCCACCACATGTGAGTACTTCCAGAGTGTGATCCACGAGGATGAAAAACAAAGGCCTTCTAAGACCTACAGGAAACTAAGGACCTGGGACATTTCAAAACCGAATCCACCCCCACCCTTAATGAATTACTCCTTGTTCACTGAGAAGCTGTTCGCCAGCTGCAAGAACACACCGAAAGGGTCAAATACTTAAGTGTGAGGCACCTGCGAACTAAGCGGCTGCCGAAAGGTCCTCTCCCTGGGGCGCCTCCCGGAGACCC